TCCAAATAAGTGCGACCGCAGTTGGACGGACGCGGAGCAGTTGCTGGCATTTTGAATATTTATGACGGACGACAAAATCCTGGGTAGGCTAGTAGTGCACTCAAAGAATTATTACATTTAACGCTCGGTAAAATTTTTGACAATGGGCTGTGGTAACTACGACCCATCATGTAACATCTTTTACTGAATCATACAAGTATGATACAGTACATGTTACGCACATGACACGTAGGAGCTTTAAGGCCTGTTCGTACAGCTGTCATCAACCTGTCAGTGATCATGTCTAAGTTCCCGCCACACAAAATTCGTTCATTCTGCTAGGCTATATAGACAGAATTCACACGACCAGACCCCAGACACAGTCACCGACAAGTTACCGACCACTGTACGAACAAACACTTAATGGATGTTTAAAGAATATTTAGGAACTTTAGCAACAATTCTTTTCATATTATATTTACACACACATCTTGCTCATTTTCAAATATTAAATCGCTTATACCCCGAAAACAATCAACTTTAGAGAGAAGTTATATATAAATCACTAATGGATTCTGATTTTATTGACTATTGGGCTATTGGGTATTTTTCTAAAAACAAGACCAAAGTTCGACAACCTGCATATCAACTGTCTTCACAGTTTGAATTATTGTAGGCTAATATATTGATGAAAAGAAAACGTAGGTAGTCAGAATTTCGCAGATTTGACTACAACCACAACCTTCAAGGTCCTGTCAAGGTCAACTTTCCCCCTCTTTTTATATCTGTAATCAAGAATGGAGTGTTTCATCGAAAAGAAGTATATTGACCTTGACATGACTTCGAAGGGTATGGCCGTGGTCACATTTTCCAAATTCTAACTACCCACGTTTTCATCAATATCTCCCCATACTAATGCAATCTGTCAAGACAGCAGATACGCAGGTTGTCAAACTTCGGAATTTTTTTAGATAAAATGCCCAATACCTATACCTGTAAGTAGGTTATATCAATATTCTTTTAAAAAGGCTTATTCTATTGTATTTAAGAAAAAATATTTATGATGTGGGAAAAAACTGGAATAACCTGTATAAGTGATTATTTTAGAAATGTGCCCTCGGATACCATGTATAATAACCCATAAATAGTTAATTTTTTACTTAGGAGCAATACACTGTTCTCGAATGCTTGGCACACCTTGTATTGTATCATGGAAACGCTTCATAGGATTGTTAAGATCCCATTAGTGCCTGTTGACCAGGATGCTCCGGCGAGCTGATTCCCAAAGTTTGGGCAAGATTTACAAGTGACTGATTTCTGTAAAGTTTGTGCCCCCTCCTTTTAAGGTCCAACTGGGTACTCAAACGCCACCCGACTCCCCTCTGCGGGCGCTCATGTGCCTGAAAATTGAACGAAATAGATCAACCATATAGTATACACTTCCGCTCTATCTGATATGCAAAAATATCTGTACATATGTACTCCAAAGTTGATGGACAAGATGATAACATGTTAGTATGTTTCTATCAACATATAACCTTTCAAAATAAAATGAAATTAACCATAATTTGCGTTAAATATTATCTATTCTTTTATGTATGCATATATGACCAAAGCCGAAAAGTGGTTCTAGAGTTTGCTCTACAGACTATATCATATTCAGAAGGTATGTATGTATAACTTGCACTTGTGAGCAGAAAAACAAAATTTCTATCACTAGGACTAGGACACTTGACATTGTAAACATATTTATCTGTTTGATTATGTTAAATCGGGGCGAATCGGATAGTGGTTTTCTTTCATACTGATTATATGAGTTTCCAAAGATTTCGATTAACTTAATTGTTATTTGAGACAGTATCTACTTATTTCAATGCTCACAAGTGTTCAACAAGCACATGTTACATTTTTCTCGGTAAGCTTCTGTATTGTTTTTTTTTTATTTGCCAAGCGTTCTAGTTTAAGACTAAACACTCTAAGAGATACGGGTACAGACTTACCCAGGTCATAGCTATGCTATGGTAAAAAATCGTACGAAATTATTAGATTAGATCATTGTAGTACAGATAACTTCGACTTTTGGTAAAGTTCCGGCAAATTTTTTGAATCACAATTAATATTTATGATTAGAGCAATATCATTAGCGGACGTGGAAAATCTCGATATTTTCATCATTTTGCGTAACATTCTAACTCTGTAGAACTGGTTGGTACGACGCTCCTTTGTCCCTAGGATGGTGAGTTAATGGAACAGTCTGGAGGCTGTCCCAGTTCTCATAGCCCTAGACAGTATATAGAAGGTATCTTTACGCTCCATATAGCACTCGGGGTGCACCTGAATTTATGCTTCTGGCTACGCGGCGCATGTACCTGCTATTTGTAATATTATTATAAAATTAACTAAGTTTGAAAGCTTCTCATTCTAAAATTGTTGATATTTCTATTTTTATCCAATATGGATAAAACTGGATTTAAATCCAGGAACGTTACCGAAAGTCAAGCGCTATCGTAAGTGTACGGTGTAAGAATATGTTCATAGTGTTTTTTTACATTTTACTATACATACACAATTGCACATAGTCAGAGAGTGACGGTGCCTTTTTTGGTGAACATTCTCCGCAGATTTAGTCTTTTTCATCAGCAGTGCTTTTCAAGTAGAATACAATTTCCATAAGAAGTTCAGATCAGTGGTCATTTCCAAAAGTACTAGTTACAATGTACCTTCGAATTGAACATGTTTGAAAACGAGGATTTTAAAAATTTATTAGCCTCTTTCTATATTTCACCGCAGATTCAAAGTACCTATGTTTATGAAAGTAATATCGCTGACCCTATGGAAAATATGTTTTATTGAATAAGGAAATTTTTGCATTTGCCAGGAATTACATTTTAGGCATAGACAAAGCTTACGCAAAATATGTTTTTACATTTTTTAAATCAATAATTAAGTCTTGTCTCAAGTAACAGTTTCTTTCATAGATACTCAGGACAGCTTAGGAGCTGAAAATTTTCTTAGTTTTGCAACTCAAGACGATTGATCTTTAAGCAACTAAAGTGTAATTGATTGTCTAAGTTTTCAAAAAAATCGTTCCTTTAAAATAACAACGTAGCAAGGTTTCAATGCTTCTTATAGTCTAGGTGTTTAGGGCATTTACATGTTAAGGCAAGGCTTTAAATCTGCGACTATTAAATGACGTTTCTTTCTAACATTCAATTTTTGCCTCATCAGAAATTCCAGATTCTTTTTAGACATGGTAATAAGGGTATAATGCCTTTTGTTTTTTGTAGCTTACTGAAGAGATTCACAGATTGAAGCATTATCTCTTAATCTATCAGCTTGAATTGTATTACCTATACTTACATGATACTATTTGTCTATGGGAGATGTGCGTATATGTACTTTTTCAACCCCAATGATCACTGATGTGTAACAGATGATATCTTTCGATTTATTTTTTTAAACTGCTTCAAATGATATGTCTCTATATACACGTATATATTGTCACCTCACTAGTGTATCAAATTGACAAGACTGGTGTGGTTCAACATAAAATTCAGAAGATCTTTATGAATCTCGAGATTTATTGAAAAGATATATTAAAATAGATCACGTATGGAATATTTGGATTCACTGCTTAAACTAATGAGGAAAGAGTTCTATTTTTTTGGTGACGGCTCTAACAAAATCTAAAGACTTCACAATGACCGGCAAAGCTGCACATTTCATCTGTTATACATTTAAGACTATTAAGTCAAATTATCTATGAGTGATACTTAGTATAGTCACTTACGCGATATTTTTATAGTTAGTGGCCGCTATAAGTGTACTTTTGACACTTGGACTACATTTCTTGTTCTTAAAGACTTAGAAAATAATCACTAATACTAGTAGTACATGTAAATATTGTCTCTCACAATATTTGGAATATTTTTCACCTAGTTATTAGATGCAGGTTTTGTTGACGAACTGATATGTGCGATAAAATATGTAAGAATTATTAGAAATGTATATATCAAAGTGATATGTTGAATTTATGAATTAAATGTTGGAATAACAATAACTTATTGCTGATTACTGAATCTTCAATAACCTTATAGTATGGTGCTATTACTACCTTGCGTAAGATTGGCAGCTGAGTGCACTGATCAGCCCGTAGGCTCAGACATGTATGGAGTGGTTTCTCGGGTCTTCATGATATGTAAGAAGATATTTACCCTTAGATAATTGAGATCAATTACTGATTTTAATCACTATGATGAAATATTCGTTATCAAACCTGCATCGTACTCTATTTTGGATCTAAGACGAAAGATATATAACTAGTAATTCAGCTAATTTTATATGTACCATGATATCAGTGTCTTGTCGCTGTTTTCTTATTGAATGATAGAACATACTTTTAACTAATTTTGTTCCTCTAAGCTAAGGTGGAAGTTTCGCATTTGTATGGACTAGACCGATTTGAGATTTAACATTAGCAGTCAAAAGTATACTATCATGAATATTACTAAATAGTATAAG